GAGATATTAGGGTTTTTTTTTTGGAGAGGGAGCAGGCAAGATGAAAAATGAGCAATCGCCTTCGGCGGGAATCCAACCACGGACCTCTGGAGTACCGGCCTAGCGCGCAGAACAACTACACCACGAAGGCACGCTATGAAAGCGGGAGAAATACCTTATATACTCCCCTTTTTTGAAGGGCGACTGGGGTTTTAGGGGACCCAATAGCTAAATCCTGGGTGTGGAGAATCCTCATCCAACACCCTAGTAGCTCGGGCGCCACTGTAGAGACATTAGGATTTTTTTTAAGCAGGTAAGCTGAAAACTTAGCAACGACTTCGCCGGGAATCTAACCGCGGACGTCTGGAATACCGGCCCAGTGTGCAGAACCACTACACCACGAAGACACGCCAAGAAGGTGGGAGAAATACCTTATAAACCTCTAGCAGCAATCACCCGATAAATTAAATTATTTCCTAGTGCTCGTTTCCGTTTCGCTTGTGCAATAATTCTGAATTCAAAATTGCTGATTTATATGAAAAATATTCATACATTAATGTATGATTTTTTTTAAAATTTGTACAGAATCGAGAATTTATAGAATAGCATATAATTATTTTTAAAGTTACCGGAATTAATTATAAACTTCATTTGCTTCTACAATAAGCAGCACGATTTCAAATTTATACCAATTCTTTCAAAACAATATAAATACAGAAAGAAATGAACATTTGTTGAGCAAGAATTCAAATTCATGCGAGTTCTTCAAATGGAATATAAATATAAAGATGAAACTTCTGTTATAATTTTAATCAAATTAAATCATCTTCTATTTTCAAAATGCGAAGTTAAGTGCTCTTTTGAAGTAATTCCTAATTAAGACTTCTCGCAAAACTCTCAGGATTTTCATCGAATGCAATTTAATCTAGAAATTTAAAGCTCTTTAAATTGTAAATTCTGATTCGCCGTTACTGCTGATTTTCTTAATTGATTCCGATGGTATTGAATTTAAGATTTCTTAGTTTGAGATAGGAGAGTTAGTGTCTTTGAAAAGAAGATGAATCCTTATTTACATACCCAAATGAGACTGAATTTTTGTAGACAGATTTATTTAACCTTAGACTTCAGCTAACACAATTACTGCAAAAAGCAGACTTAAAAAGAGATTAAGCTTCGGTCATACTATAAGTATTAATACATAGACTTTTCGAGTATTTTTGGAGTTTGTATTTTGTATTATAAAGAACTGACACTTAATTATTTATTTGATTCCCTTCATTAGAAAATTCGTTTTCAAATAACAATAGCATTTTTTTCCACACTTTCTCTCTTGTGCATTATTCATCCAGTTACTTTAGGTATGCATTTATAAACTGATTTTAAAGACAGAGATGCCAAATGGTGCATGTTCGAAACATCAACGGATATTAAATGAATATAAGCAAGAAATTAGAGCATATATTTATTATTCTTTCCAAGTATTGTACCTGCAAGTTTGAATGAAAACTTGATAAATTTATTTTGATAGAATATTTCTGTTTAATGCCTGCATGCATAAAATGGTGGAATTTCTTTTACGAATAAGTCGGAATTTAAACATTATTTTAATAATGTGGAGTGTCAAATTTAGTATACAAATTTTATTTTAAATTTGCCTTTGTATCAAGCAGTAGAAATCGTCGTAAATTTGTTTGAATTCTATAACTGAATTTGAGGATCTGTTCCTCCTAATATGTGTCAGTAAACCATTCTTTTTAATTTATAAGGCTTCAAACATTGCCTAAGTATTTTGTAGACTGTTCACAAACAGGTTCTTACTTATAATCATTACAACAGTTTTGCGAGTTTGACATTTTTTCTTAAGACCATCTGATCTTACTTTCTCAATACTTGTGAAATGACCATATTTTAATACTAAAAATAATCACTAGTCCGAAGGAGCGTCAGCTAAGAAGGGCTACTAGTCTCAAAACGGGATTTTGCGTTGAATCGATAGAAACGTTTGAATCACTTTTCAAATTGCTGCCACCAAATATTATCGTCCTATATTTTATTTAAGTAAATTTAGAAATGAAGAATTTGCATGAATGTATGCATGTTTTTCGCACCGTAAAAAAAAAAAAAAAAAAAAAAAAAAAAAAAAAAAAACCTAGAGCCAGCAAATTCTGTGCACACGCACTGCGTAAAGTTATGGTCGGTTATATGGACGATTGCCTTTGCAAAGCTTAGAAGGACTTTTTAGGAACGATGTCTTCCTGGAGTACCTTGCAAAGGAAACTGATCCATTTTCATGTTATGCAAAATGAAAGGAAGAACGTTTTCTGAGCTTATTTATATCGGAAACAATCTCTTATTTAGGCTATGCATGGAGAGCATCCGGAAAACTCGCGAAACATCATATACAGCCACGAAGTCATGCAAACCACGGATAAACTATTACTGTTTAAAGGATTTCCTTTTTCTCCCATTTATTGGTGATAGCATGGTTTCTTAAATGTTTTTCAGTCGCGATCCCTTTCTATCACTGAGATTTTTTTCGCAACCCCCTAGGGCCCATAATATTTACAAAATTTTTGTCAGACATCATACGTATTGCGCAAATCCAACACCCACGTGAGTGAAACTGTCAATTTTTTCGCTTGTACTGTAAGTATACTATTGCAGTTTTAGGTCATTAACTTTAATTTCTAATTTTAAGACATAAAACAACGTGAAAATTTTAAATAAGTAACAGACGAAATGGCAGCGTCACGTGAAAAGCAAGGAAAATAAACGTTTATATTATAAAAAGAACGCGTCGAAACGTTTTCGTTTTTTTTTTTTTTTTTCTTTGTCTGTATTGCCTAATCTTTATCTACGTAGGTAAGTTGAAAAACAAGTTTCTCCTGTCGATTGTGGTCAGAGTTGTGTATGAAAGTCAAAAAATAGAATGCAACATTAAAGATATGACATACCTTTATTTTCTTATTCTCGTATGAGTACGTTGAGACATTTGTCATATCGCTTGATAAGATTCAAAAAGTCCTCCAAGAAAAATTCACGCTTTGCATATGGAAGAAGCGTTGAACGGCTATGGGCGAAAGGCGACACAGCAGGAAAACGCGCAAGTCACCGATACACCATTGGGTAGAGGTCGCTGCAAATCAAGCAGATGGCGCTGTTGCAGTGCCTGCGCAAAGCGGAGACCAGCCTCTCATTTGAGCCCCGGTAGGTATGGAGAGAAGGTGCGTTTTGAATTCGTGGTCAAAGGAGGAAGTGAGAGCGGTTATCCGCTATGAATGGGCACGTGGAGTATCAGGAACAGATATTCATAACCGCCTCGTGGAAGTCTATGGGCCAGGTGTGATGTCGAAGCAAATGTTGCGGAGATGGTGTCGCACATTCAGTGATGGACTTCAGCAAGTGGAGGACATACCGAGAGCTGGACGGACGCGCACGGCCACTACAGATGCAAATGTCAGGAAGGTGGATGGCATGATTAGAGCGAACCGGCGTATCACCATCGATGAAGTAGCGGACATAGGGGTCAGCCTGGAACACCTCGTGCCTTACCATGAAGATGGCAATGACTTTCTGTTTCGGATTGTGACGGGGGATGAAACGTGGGTCCACCATTTCACGCCAGAATCGAAGGCCGCATCTATGGAGTGGAAACATCCGTCATCACCTGTCCGAAAGAAGCTCAAGACAACTCCCTCTGCAGGTAAAGTGCTCCTCACAGTTTTCTGGGACGCCCAAGGAGTTTTGTTGCTGGATTTTTTGGAGGTTGGAACCATCAATGCTACGCGCTACTGTGACACCCTGTCGAAATTGTAAGAGGCGATTCAGAAAAAGCGGCCTGGCCTTCTCACATCTAGCGTTCTGCTGTTGGATGACAATGCCAGACCACATTCGGCGACGGCATATCTTACGGATTGTAACAGTATGTAATGCGAATAAGTATAAACATTCTTCAATTTATAATGTACGAGATACTGAGAAATAAATATGATACCATTGCCTCGAAATCTTAAATGATTTGTGAAATAAAAAGTACTAGCTTGGTATCTACCATTGATAATTTAGCAATTAGTTTTCTGTCATTGACATTTACTCAAAAACGAAGGATAAAATGAAAAATAATTAACAATTAGAATCTAGAATTGGAAGACATCTTGCATTTCATTATTAACTTCATTCTTCATGCCAATGGCATTTATTTTATTCACAAAGAGAAGTCTGAGAACCGTTAGCTAAACTTCTTGACCAATCTGATTTATTTTTAAAATCAAATCTAGATAACTTCTTGTTGACTAATGCTCGCTTGTCTGACCTAGAGTCAACCCAAGCCTATGAAATACGCCTGTCGTTGGCAACAGCCTTGAGCACCTTACGAGTAACACTATGATTTATCTCAGTTCTACCCCCAATTTTGATGGACAGCACCCCGGGGCGACGGGTCCACCCCTCTTTCCTTACCACCAAACTCTCGAGAGGGCTTTCGACTCGCCGCATATTTAGAGTGTCCTCTACCGCACAGACAGTATGCATTTACAAAACTCCAAGCCTTCTCCTGGATTCGAACCGGGCCTCTTTGGCACGTCAGATAACAACGCTACACACTATGCCGGTTGGGCAGCAAACTACAGAACTAATATCAGACATTGGTAGTTCACTGTGTCTGTGTTTAAAGAAGATAATTTCTAGATTATTCTTTGAAGTTAAAATGAGTTGATTTCTGTATTCCTACTAACATTAAAATTCTACACAAATCCAGTTTATTGTATCACTTTGCGTAGTTCAATTATCATTGAAGCATTACAGCTAAATAATTTAATGCTGAAAAATAGTATGCTCTTAATATAAGAAGAAAAATAAGTATTAATAAGTTTGTCACACGTTTATCATATTTACAATAAAAATGGTTCAAAAATACATAAAAAAAAATGTGTGCCATGTTAATGAAATAATTTTATTTGTGTCTGAACCTTCTCCGTATGTGATTTTTTGTACATATATATTAAAAAATTAATTTCTTTTATAGGAGAATCGCTAAAAACTGGTGATGCTCGGAAGCCAGACATACATGCAGATAATGTGCCATGGGAGATGAAATTAGTGAACGAAACGAATACTGCATTCAGCAGCATGGATTATGCTCCGAATAATTGGGTTAGTATCTTTTATTTCATTTATGCTAATTAAAGAAATTGTTGCTATTCTATACCTTTCATGTAACTGCATTTAGTGATTTCACTGTTTATCAATTAATAAGGTTCATTTCATTTTAAAACATGAGATTCTAGTAACACATAAACACATTCTAATAACACATAGAGTTATTATATTAACTGCATTCGATGATAGCGTGAATTGCTTTAAATTATCTGATAGAAGGTAAACATATGTACTATAATATGCAAATTAATTGGGACAAAGCGATTTTTCGCAGAATTTTAGTTTAATTGTCAGCTGGCAGCACCAGGGCTCCCGAAGCAGTTTTTATCTGCCCTAATGCCATTTGGATGACTGCTTTCGACTACATAGAGCTGGTTTAGCTATTTTTAAGCCTTTATCAGTGCATTTAAGTTACTTTCGCATATCCTTTAAATATGTTTTACATTCGTTCATTTTAACATACCAAAAATGGCTACAACATCTAAAAGGTGATTATTTTATTATTCAGAAATTATTTTGAAGAGAAACTTAGGTGTTTTAAAGCTGGGTGTAATGAAGAATTCACTTGTAACCAGTAACTGAATTTGTCTTTTTTCAACTTTTCTACCCTCATATTAGTACTCATTCTGCTCAAGATTCCAGGGAATCTATATCTTTTCTTTTGTTTTTAATTACATCCTGCTAAACCTAGTTGGCAAGAAATCGCCCATTGGCGACTTCGCAGAGAACATTCCAGAACGCATTCTTGACGACTTTCCTCGGGAATGTTCTCGAAGGTAGGATAAAGCTATATATACCCTGCCTGTACGTGGAGAAAGGAGTATTATGAATTGAGTAGTGTAGTAGTAACTTGAGTTCACAGATTAGTTTGAGAGCGATGGACGGAGTCGGAAGCTTAGTGCTTCGCCGTGAAGCTGTTTTCACCGTTATAGCCTGAAGGCTGAGTTCCTGATTGTTTCAGCTTGTTTATCGTGGTTTTCCGTGAACTATAAATGTGCCTTTGGAACTCTCCTCTGCAATACCAGTGAATAAATTGGGTTTTGATTTTTCAACAAGTGTTATCATCAGTTACTTCAAATCCACGAACACCTAGATAGTAATATTATCATTCACCGGTTTTGAATCCCTGATTTTGCTATTAAGACGATAGAAATCGAGGTAGTTTAACTTGAAGCTTCAAAAAGCCAGTTTACGACGTTGTAAATATTAACAGGTGAAAAACATCGCAGACTCGTAGACGAAACTACGCAAGGGCAAAACGTTCTTGGAACATCGCAGGGAAGGAGAAAGCAAAGAGAAAACATTGCAGTTTTTAAATATCGGCATATAAGACATAATGATAGAAAATAAAGCAATGTAAAAACTTCGCACTTTTAAAACGTTATCGTACCAAATATCAGGGTAGAAAATAAAGCACATACAAATTGCTGCACATTGTATGGTACGTTTTTTTCATGAAAATCTACTAATACATCTTTATAGAAATGCTATAATTTAGTAATAAGATTTATAATTAAATAATGACTTTTAATAGTGACTTCAATGTGAGTTTAAAAATCTATTAACTGCTCTTCTTAGCATTACGTTTTACTAATTTTCACATTTTGAATGCTTACGTTTCCTTCTTGCCTTTTGAGTAAAATTTTTTTACATAATACAGAAATCAGAAATACGTTAAGTTCTTACTTCATTTTGTGCTATTAATCATTACTTGCAAATTCAATTACTATTATTATATTTTTATAGTCAGAACACATGTTCTGCGAAGTTATTCTTATACGATGCTGCATTATTTTTACCGCGATATTTTGTATTATAATATTTTCAAAACTTCGACATTTTTGGCCCCGCATTATTTGCTATCACGATGTTTAGCAATGCGATGATTTTCCTCTCCCGCAATATTCTGTAACACGACGTTTTTGCTTTGCGATGTTTCCTTAGCGAAATTTTCGTGTGCGACGTTTGTGCCGCGATGTTTTCTGTGGACAACGTTGGGAATTGAATGCGATGTTCAGATTGTATTGTGGTGTATGTTAACCACTACACCACAATGATACACAGCAGAAATGATTAAAATGTTAGAGGGAAATTTAAGCGTTCGTTCACATCTTTATGAGTGTAAAAAGATACAATTTCCACATTTTCTTGTAAATTTTAGTTTGCATTTATACATATATATAATGTAACGAGATATTTCTTCACTATATTGTAATGGACATAATCCTGAAGCAAACTGATTTTAAACAAACTTCACTTGCTTTGAATTTCGAGAACTTTTATACTTTATTAATTGCAGTAAAATATAAAATTTATTTACTACTTTATTGTAAACAACCTGATTTGTTCGTCTGTACTAAAATTTTTGTTTATTTATTTTATATCTTCGTCTTTGTTTTAGTTTTTAATACTGAAAGAAGTGATTTTTACGATAACTCTACTGTTTGTGCAAACTACGTAAGTTAATTAAAAGTAGAGCATATCAGATCCAGCTCATTTTCTCCTCTATAAACACTTTTATTTTCGCATAAAGGAGCAAACGTCTGCGGAAGATAGAGAAAATGTATTTCAGGTACGATTTTACAATGTCGCTGTGCATTAAAAAATGTCACGTTCTTTCGTTGGCACGTTCATTAAAAAATTTTCACGTATGTTATTTGTTGCGGAAGCTATCATACTCTTTCATTCAAATGTACATCGCACTATTTTCAGATTTTAAATATAAGGAAGGAAACTTATAAGTATGATGTCGTTCTTCAAAATTTCGTTAATTAATTAAATGTATTAATTTAAATTTTGAATTTCGTTTAGACTGAGTGCTAATCTCTATCCTTCATATATCATGAGTAATATGTGTAATGAAGAGTGGATGGTGTAAATATGCAAATATTTTTTCGTGATTAAATTAATCGTTTGATCATTTCGAAATTCACTTCCGTTTAATTACTTAATTAGAAATTCGACTTCTTAATTTATAATGTTCTTTGAAGCATTACCAATTCGTTTTGTTAAATTATAATCTTCTTTCAAGCATTATATAAAACACGTTGTGACACATGAAAAATTTTACATTAATTTTTATGATTTTATGCTCCGTAATTACTTTTGCTACAGAAAATGAATTGCAATTTTATTACTTAATTTAATACGCATTTAAAAACAACCTTCTTTCATTACTTTAAAGTATAATTATATTTTACATTTATTAGTTACATCTTCCGCTTATTTGTGACATGATTATCGCATTTGCGAGAAGTTAATAACAAATTATTTGTTTCGTCAAAATTTAATTATTCATTTTACAACTCATCGCGCAGTAGTAAGGTGTACAATTCCATTCCTTATACAATCTGTCTTTCGCATTAATATTTCGCTGTTTTAATTTCGCTGTATGGCAAAAATTTCAATATTATTTTATTGGAGGAAATAAATAAAACATGTAATTTCCAAGCAATCTATTTTTGCGCAGAATCTCTGCCGACGAACATTAAATAATTTTTCCGGTCTTCCAAATAAACGGTGTTAATATTCACACGCGATATCAACAAATATTCTTTCTTATTTATTTCCAGTTTCATTCGTTAAAAAATGAAATGTATGCGATTTTTTCGCGGAGTTGACTGCACTTTTTTTAATATTGTTTCCGCGCAATCGGAAGTAGGGACAAAAAAAAAAAAATTGGAAACAAACAACAAACATACCAAAAAAGAGAAGAAGAATTTAAAAAAGAAAAATGCAAAAATCACGTTGAAAAGGATAAGGCGAAACAAGCTAGCTAAATGATTTCAAGCTCATATTTCAACATTTTCGTATCTTTTAAAAGTTTTACGATCTCAAAGAAAATTGAAAACATATTGCATTATAATGAACGACAGAAAAAAGTACATAAACATGAAGAATGAGCCGTAGTTTTCCCATTCGTACCGGAAAACGTAAATAAATGTTTTCGTTTTCTTTCTGTATTTTTTATTAGTTGTAACGGCAATAAACATTATCAAACTCCGTTGGTTTCTCGAAACAAACAAACAAAACAAAATTGCAAGTTGAAGTTGAATGAACAAAAATCCCTGGTTTAAAAAGTCTGCTTGTGATAAGTGCAGTATTCTACCCATAAATTTGCTTTATTTTACTTTTTTTAACGTTTTTGTTATTATTTTTACTTATTTATTTGTTCCTTAGGGTGTACCCTTGAGCACAGTCGCTTTCTAGAAATGCTATGAAAGACACCAAAACGACCATTCGCGTGAGTTATGTAAGCCATGAATCGTCTTCTGTAAGATTTCAGAATCTAAATCAACATCTTTTAGTAATTCACTGGAAAGCTCGGCGGCATAGGGATCATTGTTGCCTCGGAGAGGGATTTCTGCCTTCTTTATCCCTTTTTCATTCTTTGCCGCACATTGCGTTTTCGGTTCCTTGAGGAAGCTTTCTTTAATGTCACAACTGATTGTTTATGCTGTTAAATTCAGAAAGCTAAAGACGATCTCTTTAAGTAACTGCACTAGTTTTTCTCGAGTTTTAGAGTTTACAAAGCATAAATAATAACAGAATTAACTCTTATTTATATTGATCTGTGGAATACATTTTCCAATGCTTGCTTTTTGGAGACGTGCTAGATTTAACTCGTGATTCCTTTTCTGCCACTGCAAATTCTTTAATTAATTTCCTATATTAATAATCTTATTAGACACAACCTGTCATCAGATAAATGTTTCTTTTCAGTCAATAGTTAGACATTTTCATTGTTTTAACTGAATTCATCTACCCCATACTGTGGACATATCTACGCAAACTGAAATCTACACCATGGTGTAGTAAATATATAGTAGTAAATATTCAGCATAGAAATTGAGCTATAAATAGTTACATATACTTCTCAGCAATAGATTTTGCCAAATTGATGAGTATGAAATTCTAAATACAGTCCACTAGAATGTGGATTAGCCGCGCTTAAAATACCTTGCTTTTACTTGGTGATAAGGAGTGTGGAAAAA